AGCTTTTATACCACTTGGTTGCACTTTATTCTGCTTCAACCTGAAAAGATATAAAAGAGCGCTGCTGTATGGCATTAGCTCATTTTCGCTTCGGACGGCGTGGTGAACAGCAATAGCAGCAGTAGGAAGGTGGTGACTAGTCCACTCCTTCACACCCAACAAGCAACAATTGACTAGTCGATGTCAAACGTGTCTCCGGTCATCGATGTCGTCTACGCTTTGAAGTGACAGACGAACTCTGTACAGCTTCGGAGGTTAAATCATCATCAACTTTGGTAACAAAACGGCTCTTTTCAGGGCCATCAAGTTTACATCAGTAAAGAGTTGGAATAGAATTTATCTGTGCTTGATTGTCCATATTCAGAACCACAAGCCCCCAACGACCACACAAAATGCTCTCCAGAGTTGTAATCTTGAAACCAAACTTGGAAGCAGGTGTGCAAGTGATTTTGATTGATTCTCTTAATCAACTTTCTCTTTGAAAAAAATTACTACAAATTTGGTACGCCTACAATTCAAAACCAGAAAGAGTTGAGATAATAGATAATTGATCAATTAAAAGAACTAAATGCTCTTCACATTTATTCCGTCCACTAGCGGTCTTACGTCAACCTTCCGTTCGTGCCCCTAGGCACAGATCCTTCTACATTTTTTAAATTGTATGAGCTGTAGATAATTGTCCACCCCCCCCCCTCATTAATTCTGTCTACGTAGTTTATGAACAGCCCCTTACATTAAACAGCTTCTTTTTATAAGTGAACTATTAGTTTTTGCTTCGTAACGGAGAGTTCGGTAATGATATGTGGTGATGGTCTTAATACTGATAATACTGCATACTTAATACTCATGTCTTTGTATTGCCATAATATTTTACGTTCTTTATTTTTAATTATAGAGCTATCGTTCTTTATTTTTAATTATATAGCTTAATTTATAATTATAAATTATCGTTTGCATAAAAAACGAGACATTTTTTGAAGATGGTTTAAGCGATCCCTCATAAACAAATACCATAAACGAACTTTATCCCGGATGGGTAAACTATCCCACAAATGGTTTGGATGATACCCCGAACACGTCGTTAAGCTCTCTTTTGTGGTTATTTTTATTAGGGATGACCTGCCACCTAAAAACCGTAATTTTAAGCTGCCATGGGTTAACTGTTTATTATTCAATTATGAAAGCGATGCGTATTGCTTTTCTGTAATTATTACCAAAAATTGGAGAAACTCCAACTGAATAATTGTTTATTTCTTTAAATTTGCATGGGTAACTTTTTTTCAATTTTCTTTCTCTATGATAAACTTAGATAAGAAGTGTATGCACCATTTTTTCCATTAACATTTTTTGTTTAAACCAATTGCATCAAACTTTGATTTCATTTTATAACGTATGAGGAAAAAAACGACCGTACAAATTTGGAGTTTGATGCATACAGTTTAAAGCAGCAACATTTTACAACAAGTGTCCTGGTTTATATATAAGTATTGCAAATCTTAAGAAGCTGTCAAAGTTCTACCGCCAGTATAAAAAAGCGCTGAATATTGAAAAAAAAAAAACATAGTGCGCGTTGAGAAATTGAAGTATATTTGCTGGTGATTCTTTGAAGCCTTGTTCATTTGATAGCTGTAGTGGAACTTCTTCTTCTTCTTGGAATTAATACGTAAAACAGACATAAATCTCTTGATGTTGTTTGAGCTAACCTTGCATCTTTCCATCCACAAGAATTTTGCAAGAAGGATGACAAATGAAAGCGCTTATCGATACCTGTAATACTCAAGGTTTTAACCCTTTCTATGTTTCTCAATAGCGAAAATTGAATGTTTCTGCTCAAATCCCAACACAAAGATCTACTGACTGATTATCTACAGTATGACTGGTTAACAATGCGCTTGATTGACTTCTGACCGACTTGAAAACACGCGTTAATAAATCCTGCCCAAAGCTAGCCTAAAAAAAGAATGGCCGCATTACCTTGACAATTAGCCTTTTCGAATTTCGGCCACTCTGTAACTCTTTACTCCTATGGTAAAACCCCATAGGCAAACGTCAGTCTGTGCGAGACACATGTTAGACATTACCTTACCCTTTTACTCCAGTGAAAAATCTCATAAGATCCTGTTAATCTTTGCATGAAGAGTCGGTGGCTCGCTGGCACCATGGTGGAGTGAAGAGATAAGACAACATCCGCTAGACTTCGGGATTTTACCATAGGAGTAAAGAGCTAGAACCACCATCAATGTCAATACTTACACGTTATTTCAAAACTACTCCAATTTGGGTAGAATCCTCTCAGATCGCTCACAACTGAATCTACTCAAAAATGTGTAAACAAGCTGACACTTGAGCAACATTGGCATGAATCCTACCGACGTTGTTCAATTGTTAACCTGTAACTCCCAACATAGTTTACCCATTTTTTGATAGATTCAGTTTTGACCGATCAGGGTGGATTTTACTCAAATTTGGGTAGTTTTCAAATAGCGTGTACTGAGCATGCAACGAAAAATCTGATTTTCTTTCATAAGGGCCAATGTCACACACGTAAACACTGACTTTTCCACGAATTTCTTGAGAATGAAAACTCGCTCAAGTAAGCCATCACGATGTTTGTGTATAGAGAAAGTCCTCATAGCTGATAGAATTGCTGAGTTACATGGATTAACTTTGAATTACAAGATATTTACGAAAGAAGCCATTGCTTACGTTTCCGTCATTGGCCCATATGAAGACTCAGTGTCGAATCACGAAAATTTAATTTTGACGCATCGATGTCCAACTATACCAGTTATACCACTGAGGAAACACAAAAAAGGGGTCAACATTTAGTCAGCAGTTTTGCATGAAGTTCCACATATGTTATGTGTTCAGCGTCAAGGTAAAACGAATGCAGTTTCGTGATTATTTGAAAATTGCCATTGAAATGCACGCCTTCTGTAAAAGTACGCCAAATAAAATATTACAAAATGTCAGTTCCTTCTGGTTTCCCAAAGACAGCGTCGTCAGAGAAAATTGAGTTCAATTATGTCGGCTTCCTTTCGATCAGCGTGATGGAAAACTCTTGAATATGGACCGTAAGTAATCTATTACATTGATAATTGAATTGTCGTTTAGATGAAAGTCGATTTGAAACTGATTAATTATATTTCAGCTACATTTTAATTACGATTAAGATTTATAAATGACATAGAATGGCGGAAAACTATTAGTAGCGGAGGGCGCAGTTTCTGTTTTTGAAAATGTTGTACGAAATTTATGATGATTTGAAAGATTATAATAGGCCTGACTTGTTGATTTATACTTATTTATAATATTGTAAAGATCTTACTTAAAACGTGAATTTCAGGCAAATCTTATAAAATTTCGTATATGTCAGATGTTTGAAGATGTACAGCTTTTATGTTTTGAGCAACTTTTCATAAAATTCTACATTCTACAACTTTGCCGAAAAATCAAACCTCTATCTTACGAAATAAAAAAATGTTTGTATCGCTGCGCCATCTTTGCGCCCAAAACTTTAACTATTTTTATCCACCAAATTATATTCCTAATTAATCCAGAAAACTTCACTGAAGACGTCAACTCAATTGGATGCATTGGAATTCCTGGTTCACTGTGCAATGGCCGAGTTGGCGCGAAATTTGTCTTTGGTCAAAACTCGTTCACTTACCCTAATTATGTTTTGACACATTTTGAAAACGCAATCTAGAAAACTAGGTTTGTTTGATCATAAATGCGAATCTCAACTAATCTTATTTAAATTTTGTTTGTTGCTCTGATAATCCTAGAAGATGCTGTTAGATTTTTTGAGGAAAGAAACTTCAACGATTTCCTTTATTGGATCGATGAGCACCTTTTTTCCCTAAAACTATACCAAACCTGTGGAATTATTCCTTATATTCATTCTCACACTCCAAGAGTCACGCCATCATCGTCCTCATCGCCGCCAAACATATATTAATCGACGGTTTTCATCTAGTTGATCCAGCTACTACAGTAACTTACCAGCCTTAACTGTTATGATTTATAGCTAAGTGTGTCTACATTGTTCCTGCTCAGTATTTTAAACAGTTTTTCTAAACCTGCATGTCAGTACAACAATTTACATCTTAAAACTGAAAACTTAAACTAAAACTTATCTAAATGTAAAAGGAAATAATTATTGCAATTGAGGACTGCCAATCAATTCTAGGTATCTCGGTAGTACTGTACCATGAAGACAACTTCAAAATCATCTTCAGAGCTTAATTCTGAATCCTTTGAGGTGTTTTTTTCCTGGTCTAACTAAAAACCTGTTTGAATATTAGAAGTTTATTCTTCGGGCAGAATTTGGATTTTTGGTTTAAGAGAGGATATAAACATTTTATATATTGGTTGATGTCCTTTTTAATGTGATCTTTAAAAATTATTTATGTTCAAGAACTATTTCACTTGACTTGACCAAGAAATTGGAACTCCGTTCAAAGTGACTATGCGACTACTACTAGGTTTCAAAAAGGAAGCTCTCAGCTTATGTGGGAATATTATAAGTTGAGTTTCGAAAGCGTCGGGAGAAATCTTCCATTTTTGTAAATAAGAAAAGAAAATATCGAAACTTTTCTACAGTCTGCGGAAAATAACACGATGACTTCTTCTTTTAGCGGAAATGCCTGTATCATTGACAAACAAAGAATTGAGGCAACCCTGAGGGAAATCAGGAAGGTCCGAAAGAATATAACATATCGACCCAAGAATGCTACCTTGAGGAACTACTGCTCGAAAAGGCAGTCGTTCAGATTTGGAAGTTTGATAATTTACCTTATGAGTTCTGTCAATTAAATAATTGTTTTAAGTTCCTAATCTAGAGTGGAAAAATAAACTTTTTCGTGCCAAACACTGTCGAATGCTTTTCCTATGTCTAGAAGAGCAACTCCAGTTGAGCAGCGTTCAGATTTGTTTGAATCAATAGACAAGAAATACTAATGATAAATGTTACTAATAGATTGTGCTTTTTTTTTTAGGAACAATAATGGAGCCCACCAAGGATACAGTCGACAGTGGCCGCTATGCATGGGGTGGCAATACTGGAAATCATGGCAACAAATACGAAGAAGATTTAGCATTTGCGCTATTTGAGCGAGCATCTTTGCGGAAATCTGAATTCAAACTTGCCTCAGAAATGAAGGACGCTGGAAAATTCGATGATGTGGTCATAATTTTCGAAGAACCGAAGGAAGTGTGGTTGTTCCAAGCCAAACACAACGACAGCTCAGATGGTTCAAAACCAATATCGTTCAACAATTTGTTTCCAAAGACGCGTAAGGAAAATTATGATTTTGCTATTATCAAGTACATACAGTCCTATTTAGACGTTATTCAAAAAGATGAGTTCAAGGGGTTGAAGATGCGATTTTTTATCCTAACCAATAAATCATTAGACGATAGCAATAGTCAGCTAAGAGAGTTGGTGGACATCGAGGTCTGTGAACAAAGTGAAGTGAACCCAATAATGAAGTTTGCTGAATCGGACGATTGCTACAAAAGATTCAGACCAAAAAAGGATAAAATTAAAGATTTACTGAAGTTGATGAACACCGAACTACATGCCATTAGGGATGCGATCATTGAACTCTTCAAAAGTGGAAAAGTTTCGGACTTACTAATCAACTACAAAACACCGTTGCAGAAGATCCTGGAAGTTTCAAATGAAAATCTAAAGGTCAAAGATGTTGTCTCAACCAGAAAGGATGATTGGTTGTGCAATGAGCTACTAAAGGAGATTGGTGAAAAAAAAACAGCGAAAAATCCAGTGATTCAATCATTTATGAAAGATAAATCTAGGAACACCCAACTACCAAGGTATTTAACTGAAGATAGCGTGAGCAAGTTCTTTCAGCATCTAACTTTCTGTGTAAACCAACCAAGTGATCTAATAAGAACGATTGACAATGATCTTCGCTCATGGATGAGAGATTGGATTCCACCGGACCATCTTGGCAAAGTACAATTAAAACTACCTTTCAATAAATTTGATGAATGTTTTAAAAAGTGGATCAATTCTAAATGTTACAAGGATACAACAAACAATAAGCCAGAAAAGAGTTACTTATCATATAAAGAGGGAAGTTCTTGTGTCGAAGAAATAACGAGGGAACTGAGTGATAATTTTTCACAACGTAAATATGTTGGAAGCTCGTACATAGAAAGAAAATTAATTGATAATAATCTTATTGCTAGTGACCATGATTTCATCAATCGATTAATAGACGACCAAGCAGAAAACAAATTTTCTCTCTTCATCGGAGAGCCTGGTATGGGAAAAACAACTATCCTCCAATACATTGCCTTCGAAGTTCAAAAGAAATCCGATATTGATGTGTTCTTGATATATTTGAATAACTTAAAGGAAACGCTCAAATCAGGCTGTGAAAACTTAGAAGCGGTTTTCAAAATTCTGCGATCAGTTCTTTCGGAATCAAGCAGGACAATTTTGAAAAACAATCTAGAAAGCAACGCAAATCGAACTCTAATCATGTTTGATGGGTTCGATGAGATCACTTTTCATAACGAGGCAATCGCCGTAATTAGGCAATTATTGTCAAAGGAGAATATTCGAGTGATTGTAAGTGGTAGATATCATGTCAAAGATATTCTTGAAACAGAATTTAGAGCAAGGGCAATCAGATTGATTCCATTTGAAAACGATGAACAAATAATGGTTTTGAAAAATTCATGGGAAGCTTCCGATGATTCAATGGAATTTGAAATTTTTTCAACTCAATTGCTCGAAAAATTCTACTCGGACATAAATAGTGATGAGTCTGAATTCTTTGGTATTCCGCTTATAATTCGATTGTTGGCGGAGGTATATTCTGATGATTTCCAACAATATTTAAATACTGATCCAGATAAACGTGCACCAGATATTTTCCCGAAAGAAAAATTTAATGTTCTCTCATTGTTTAAAAAGTTTGTAGAATTTTCGTTTCAAATCAAATGGAAGAAAAAAAGAGACCAAGATCCTTACCGAAATATCGACATATCAAGTGATGACGAAGAGCGCCGTCAATTGAAATACTTTACTATGGAGCATCAAATGGCTGCTTGGCACGAGATTTATGTGTCAGATTATGAATCAACTATATCAACTTCTCAGTTTCATGATATAATCGCATCAGGTGAAACAATCGCATCGGGTAAACACGAAAAACTTTACAACCAACTGCAAACACGAATCAAAGACGGAAAAGAGCACTCTCCTCTATTTAATATTTCCGAAGGCAATCTCAGATTCGTACACCGATCCTATGCCGAATTTTTTGTTGCAACGTATCTATATGAACATATCCAAAAATGCAAGGAAATTTTGTACGAAACACTTCTTAATCATGCAACAGTTCGAAGATTTTTCTTTATGCTAACTGAAGAACAATTTTCAGAACAATCAGAGCAAATGATTGCTCTGAGCGATATTTGTAAAGATTCACCTGCGGTTGCATTCTGGGCATGTAAAGCAAATTTTTTAAAAGTAGTGAAGGGGCTACTACAAAGGAAAGACTACAAAACTGAAACATACGAAAGACACGGATCATTATTACACACTGCGACGCATGCTGGTCATTGTGAGATGGTTTCATTTCTACTTGATTATGGCATAGATGCGAATTTGATGGCCATGTTTGCTGCACCATTGTTTGCAAAAAATAGAAGTTCGCTGCACATTGCTAGTGCCAAGGGGAATCTAGATATTTTTAAACTTCTCCTCGATCGATCTGCCAACGTGGATCTTCAGGATGAAGAAAAAAAAACACCTCTCCACTATGCAAGTGAAAGGGGGCTTTTAGAAATAGTTAAACTTCTCCTCGATCGATCTGCCAACGTGGATCTTCAGGATGAAAGAAAAGGAACACCTCTCCACTATGCAAGTCAAAATGGGCATCTAGATATTGTTAAACTTCTCCTCGATCGATCTGCCAACGTGGATCATCAGGATAAAAATAATAAAACACCTCTCCACTATGCAAGTAAAAATGGGGATCTAGATATTTTTAAACTTCTCCTCGATCGATCTGCCAACGTAGATCATCAGGATGAAAAAAAAAGGACACCTCTCCACTATGCAAGTCAAAATGGGAATCTAGAAATGGTTAAACTTCTCCTCGAACGATCTGCCTACGTAGATATTCAGGATAACAAAAATAGAACACCTCTCTACATGGTAGTTATTAAGCATAATGAAGAAATAAACGATTTCCCCTGCGAGGATGAAAGTTACGAAACACCGCTCCATCATGCAAGTGAACGGGAGTATCTAAAAATTGCAAAACTTCTCCTCGAACGATGTGCCAATGCTGATCATCAGAATTATATAGATGAATCACTTCTCAATCTTGCTACTCAAGCGGACAATCTAGAAATGGTTAAACTTCTCCTCGATCGATCTGCCAACGTGGATCTTCAGGATGAAGAAAAAAGAACACCTCTCCATTATGCAAGTGAAAGAAGGTATCTAGATATTGTTACACTTCTCCTCGATCGATCTGCCAACGTGGATCAAGAGGATAGTTATGGCCAAACACCTCTCGATTGTGCAATTGAAAGGGGGTATCTAGATATTGTTACACTTCTCCTCGATCGATCTGCCAACGCGCATCATCAGGATGAAGAAAAAAGAACACCTCTCCACTACGCAAGTAAAAATGGGCATCTAGATATTGTTAAACTTCTCCTCGATCGATCTGCCATCGTGGATCATCAGGATAAATATAATAAAACACCTCTCCACTATGCATGTGAATGGGGTCATCTAGAAATATTTAAACTTCTCCTCGATCGATCTGCCAACGTGCATCATCAGGATATATATAATAAAACACCTCTCCACTATGCATGTGAAAGGGGTCATCTAGAAATCTTTAAACTTCTCCTCGATCGATCTGCCAACGTGCATCATCAGGATGAAGAAAAAAGAACACCTCTCCACTACGCAAGTGAAAATGGGCATCTAGATATTGTTAAACTTCTCCTCGATCGATCTGCCATCGTGGATCATCAGGATAAATATAATAAAACACCTCTCCACTATGCATGTGAATGGGGTCATCTAGAAATATTTAAACTTCTCCTCGATCGATCTGCCAACGTGCATCATCAGGATATATATAATAAAACACCTCTCCACTATGCAAGTAAAAGGGGTCATCTAGAAATGTTTAAACTTCTCCTCGATCGATCTGCCAACGCGCATCATCAGGATGAAGAAAAAAGAACACCTCTCCACTACGCAAGTGAAAATGGGCATTTAGATATTGTTAAACTTCTCCTCGATCGATCTGCCATCGTGGATCATCAGGATAAATATAATAAAACACCTCTCCACTATGCAAGTTACTCGAAGAAGCTAGAAATGGTTAAATTTCTCCTCGATCGATCTGCCAACGTGGATCATCAGGATAAATATAATAAAACACCTCTCCACTATGCAAGTGAAAGGGGTCATCTAGAAATGTTTAAACTTCTCCTCGATCGATCTGCCAACGTGCATCATCAGGATATATATAATAAAACACCTCTCCACTATGCAAGTAAAAGGGGTCATCTAGAAATGGTTAAACTTCTCCTCGATCGATCTGCCAACGTGGATCATCAGGATGAAGAAAAAAGAACACCTCTCCACTATGCAAGCGAAAATGGACATCTAGATATTGCTAAACTTCTCCTCGATCGATCTGCCAACGTGGATCATCAGGATGAATATAATAAAACACCTCTGCACTATGCAAGTAAAAGGGGTCATCTAGAAATGGTTAAACTTCTCCTCGATCGATCTGGCAGCGTGGATCTTCAGGATGAAAAAAAAAGAACACCTCTCCACTATGCAATTAAAAATTGGCATCTAGATATTTTTAAACTTCTCCTCGATCGATCTGCCAACGTAAATCATCAGGATAAATTTAATAAAACACCTCTCCATTATGCAAGTGACTGGGGGGCCCTAGAAATTGCAAAACTTCTACTAGATCGATCTGCCAACGTGGATCATCAGGATGAAGAAAAAAGAACACCTCTCCACTATGCATGTAAAAGGGGGCATCTAGAAAAGGTTAAACTTCTCCTTGATCGATCTGCCAATGTGGATCATCAGGATGAAGAAAAAAGAACACCTCTCCACTATGCATGTAAAAGGGGGCATCTAGATATGGTTAAACTTCTCCTCGATCGATCTGCCAACGTGGATCATCAGGATGAAGAAAAACAAACACCTCTCCACTATGCAAGTGCCTGGGGGCCTCTAGATATTGCTAAACTTCTCCTCGATCGATCTGCCAACGTGGATCATCAGGATGAATATAATAAAACACCTCTCCATTATGCAAGTGCCTGGGGGCATCTAGATATTGCTAAACTTCTCCTCGATCGATCTGCCAAAGTGGATCATCAGGATGAATATAATAAAACACCTCTCCATTATGCAAGTGAAAGTGGGTATCTAGATATTGTTACACTTCTCCTCGATCGATCTGCCAAAGTGGATCATCAGGATGAAAATAATAAAACACCTCTCCATTATGCAAGTGAAAGTGGGTATCTAAATATTGTTTCACTTCTCCTCGATCGATCTGCCAACGTGGATCATCAGGATGAATTTAATAAAACACCTTTCTACTATGCAAGAGATAATGGGCATCTAGAAATTGTTGAACTTCTCCTCGATCGATCTGCCAACGTGGATCATCAGGATGAAGGAGAAAGAACACCTCTCCATAATGCACGTAAAAGGCGGCGTCTATAAATAGCTGAACTTATCCTCGATCGATCTGCCAACGTGGATCATCAGGATAAAAATAGTAAAACACCTCTCCACTGTGAAAATGGTGCATCAAGGCGACCAACAACAAAATATATTCATGATTATTATGAACTGCTTTGGAGCATGGTTAATCACGATGATATTAAACGGGAGTATTTAGAAATAGCAATACTTCTCCTCGATCGATCTTCCAAAATAGATGAACAAGATTCATCCGAATCGACACCCCTTCACTACGCAACTTAAGACAACGCCCATAATCTCCTGAGTATAAAAACTGCATATCCAAATTCGCATAAGACCTTGAGAAGATTATCTGTGGATACATACAGACAAAAAGATGAAACTTCTCTCACGAATTAAACATTGATTCGATATCGAGTTATACCGTGTATTCCGCTTCGAAACGGAATTTCACGGATTTTTTGTTCATGTTTCGTTTTGTTTAAATAAGAATATTTCGAGTTCATAAACTTCCATGTTAAAGGAATTTCGTAACGAAACTCATATTTCACTTTTTCAAAATAACCAACGAACAAACAAACCTAGTCACGAACCTATCCAAGAAAATCGACCTTTAGAGGCCTTCAGGGCCTGACTAAACTACCGCAGAAGTAGGATCCACACGTACTATCGTACTCTCAGCCCGTCAACGAGAAGCATTCGCGAGGTATCTTGAAAGCTCTTAGCAGAGCATAATCAACACCCACATTCAGCTCAGCTCGCCAATGAGAAGAATACGCAAGGTATCTATGAAGATCTCCCTTTGGTCTCTCGGTAGACGCGTTTTGGAGCAGACAAAATCCACTCCCAACCAGCCAACAACAAGCATGTCTTGCTCTGTTTTAATTGGAATAACTGCACAGAAATATCCAATTTGAAACTAATCCAATATTTTCATTAAATTAAAATTTAAAAACACTGTATGCAAAAGCTGCCGCCAGATAAGCAAATTCTGAAATACTTTACTATAACGGATGAAGAGGAAAATGGTTTGGTTGTGGAAGAGATCGAGTTTCGAAAGTCAGTTCATTATTGGTTAACACCCCTGATTCGTTAATCAGTATTATAGGAACGCACCAGATTGATTAGTTCCGTGCAGTGTTGGCAAAATCATCAATCAAATGATATGTTTCCGCTCTCATACGCTCTCAACATCACGCGTGATATTGGAACAAAATATCCTGCTTGGTATTTGATTTTACAAGCTCCTTCCCGCATAATCGTAAACAATAAAAGGATGATCCACAGTATCATTACGTACCATAAATAAGAATATCCGGACGATTCTAGTCAGCGTGTATAAAAATGATAAGCATATAATACCATGAATTGTCCTGAGGATACCATATATTGTAATATGCAAAACAACTATATGGGATAACGGCGGTTAAGTATAATTACCATTCCATTATGTTGATATTTTAGAACAAAATTTCAGGTTTACTGTAAGACATATAGCTTTTTTATAATCAATTTTAAAATCATAAAACTATATGTCATAACATTCTGGAACATTTGGATTATTAAATTTGGGTTTTAAAAGGAAAGTAAACGTTTTACTCTGTAAATGGTTCATTGAGGTAATTTAACATTATGGTGTATTTTCTAGTTATATTCAAACGATTAAATTCCATAAGGGCTTACCATATCCCATATAGTTTGTATTTATTCCTTTTTCTTCGATCAGGGACTATGACTGATCTTAACCTTACAACTACTGACAGTATGGTATCATTATTTAAGTGGTCTGCTAGTATAGTGGTACCATGTTGACAGTAGATGTGAGATCGAATTCAGCCAAAGCTAACGATTCATTGTGTGTAAAAACAATTTATTTCATTGGCAACTAATTTATTCTTATGAAAAGCCCACCTTCATTCAAACACAAAAGTAAAAAAAACTTCCGAAAGAAAAGCTTTCAGCATTTTAAGCTTCATGATATTTCGATACCCAATCAAATGTCAATTCTATAACCGCACCTTGTCCGTCTGTTTTCGGGTGTATTTCAGGCATTTGCTTATCAATCAGGTCCAGCCTCGATCCAGCTCTTCGCTGCCGTCGCCCAGAATATCCTGTGAGTCGATTTGGTTGAAGTTTCAATTTCCAGCCTCTGATAATGCTACGAAAAAGATGCGGGTGCATCATCATCTCGAATAACCTGTGAGATTGTCCCGAACCCTGCCATTCTCAGCAACTTCTGCTGGTACAATAACAGAATCCTGCGTAATCAAATCCAGCGATACGATGATATTTGAGTATTTGGCTTCTGCTTGCGATTTAATGACAGTTGAGTCCGCAGCTCTGTCTACCACTGATAGGTACACGTAGCCGATTCTTGATTCTCCTTGTGCTGCTTCAAGAGAATCTTGCGATACGATGATCGGGCCTTTTGCTTCTGGTGCAGGTGATGCAAGAGGAAATTATGTGAATTAATTCTCAGCTCTGTCTGCAAGCTTCTCCTTGTTCCTTAAATACAGCTTGCAGCTAAAAATTTAAAGTAAACATTATTTTTGGATTGTTCATTTTTTCTCACAAATCAACTAACTTTTCAACGCACGCAATTCTGCTACGTTCAGTTCATACGCAGCTTGCACTTGTTGGCGTTTGTTTTAGCCCGGAGTGCAGGGTTCTAGAATTGTAGATTTTTTGTAAAAAAAAAATAAGGTGAAAAAATTATAAAATACTCACTTTTATCTTGTTTTGCAACAGGTAGCTGAAGTTGCTTTCTCTTTGGTGGTATTGTAAGGCTGAGTTTTCAATTTTTCTGCTAGCTTGTCTATGAACGCCACTGAGAAATTTTACCCTTTGTGGTGTCAGCAGCAGAAAATCGAACGATGCTAATTGATATACAATAGATCACAACTACTAAAAAGAAAAACTATTTGTGGTATCAGCAGCGAATCGCAATATGATAAACATTATGAGTGTGCTCATAGTTTGTGTAGAAGTATTTGTTCAATGTTATGAACATGAGCATAAACGTCACCACTTAACGTTACAAGTCACAAATAATATTTGGCATACAGTAAACAATAACAATAATCAACGCCACTTGGAAAATTTATCGTCACGTTATTGCTTCTGTGACCATCCAATTAAAATTAGTTAGCGTTTACGAGCTCAAAATATTCTGACGTAGATTATAACACTTTATTCCAACATTCTATGGGAAAAAGTAACTGCATGCTGTATTGTTTAATTTTAATTGAATATTGTATGTGATTATTGAGGTAGTCCAGTTCGATTGTAAATAGTCGATAACACATATAGTAACGATATATTTTATGTCAAATTTATAATGAGTACTTTTCAGCAAATAGTGTTTGATTATGTGGGTTTGAAATTGCGAGACTATTCACATCGTGCAAAAAATCAAGCTGAGAGTTGACTCGACACAAAAATGATGAACTTGCACATCGTTTTCATAGAAAGAGAAAGTACAGTTTCCTATCTCTTTTTACTCTTCACCGATGGCAGACACGAAGATGCTGCTGCCAATTGTTATGGAAGTTTCGGTTACGTTGGGTTCGGGTGTAAAGCAATAATCATGAAATTCAATCTCTCCACAGTTTGTTGAGATTTGCAGCTGGTGAGTTTTGTTAGCTGGATATTCCAAGCTTTTTTTAACCGCAAATGTTTGCTTGTTGATTTTTGTCTACGAAAATCAAGCGTAATCTTGGGCATTGGTGATTTTTTTACATTTTTTAAAGACTGGTTCCGTGCATCACTAGCACCCTGAAGTTTTGCAATACCTCTGAAATTCATATTATAGCTACTCATCCATATTGTTCAAAGCGTTATTTCTGTGATCCGGTGATGATTCATCAGATAAAACTATGTTATACCCACGTACAAAAGCGCTTCGTTTATTTCACCGAGTGCCTCTGGATCAATCTAAAGTTTTAAACCTAGATTAAAATATCATTCATCATTACAAACAGTTCCAGGCCGAATAGCAAAAGAAAATAACGTTTTCTCGCCACCTAAAATCACGTCTGATTAAGCTCAAATATCGCACAGGGTCTTTTTACGAGGCAATAAACATTTTGCACATGGGTCATATTTTTCCCATACATTCATTGGCACCCTAATGAAGATATACATTTTTACGTTCATGTAGTCATAAGGCAAAATTTTGAAAAGTGAAAGATTGAAATGAGTTTTTCTTTGAAATGTAACTTTGTGAAATTTTCAGGATCTTTATCATAAAATGATCTTGAATTTTAATTTTGTGAAGATTTTACAGTTTATCAAATATATCTTAATTTTGATAAATTCTGATTTTAAGATCACAAGCTAGGATACTTTCCTAAATTTGGGTACTCTGATAAATTTTATGATCAAGGGCGTAGACAATATTTGAAAATCTAGGACTTGGAATAAGCAAGGCATAAATATAAACGACACCTAAAGAATACACACCCTGCACTTAAAGTGTTCACAACCACCAGAAAACCTTGGTCAGGAGCAATTAACTTTGAAAATGAGAAATAGACAAGTGGAAAGTAGCTATAGAAAATAAATGTTTCATCGGTAAAACTGCGAAAATAAGCAACAGTTAAATGAAAAGTTGCAACAGATAATTAAAAAAAATAGAAAATATATGTTTGAGCAATAAAAAACCTTGAATGATCCATGAAAAGTTGATGAGTTTCCAATTAAAACTCTAGAAGAATCAATGAAAAACTAAAAATGAGCACAACAAAATAAATAAAAAGTGAGCAATGAAAACAAAGAAGTCAACTGTTATTATTATTAACCAACAAAACGGTTGTTTATCAATTTATTATTGCTCGCTTTTAAATGGTATAGTGCTGCGATGCCTCCCGACAGTTAATGTCCTGATAATTAGTGATGTCTGATATTTATTAGATTAATGGAGCGCACAGAAAACGATCAGTAGGTATTCGACTAATTTTTAAGCTAACATAAGATCGGCTGGGTTTTTGTGGCAGGCAGCATATGAAGGTAGAATTATG